CTTTGGGGGCATCAGCGTTCTGGTGTCCTCATTTTTATTTCTTCCATTGACGTATCATTACTAGGATGAAAAAGAAGGGTGTCTCGAGGGCTTTCGAAAAAAAAAGGGTGACTACTCAAGACATTTCGTAAAGCGGGGGGTGGGGGGGTGGAGGGGAATCGTGAAGAAAAGGGACCTCGGTAGGGGGCGAAGGGGTTGTGAATGTGGCCTTGTCTGGCGGTTCTTTCAGCTGAAACCTGGTGCTGGCATTTGTAGTGCAGTTCAAACTGTCACCTTTAGTTCTTGCTGGCTTTTCTGCCCTTGCCCCAGAACCTCAACAGATTGAGGCTTATTTACCTATTCACACTCGGCCGTGGAAACTTATTAATAGGCTTATTAGCAACACCATTCATGGGAGGCCATTGACAAAAGGGGTTCCAGCCACTTGAAGAGGGAAGAGGAAAAAAAAAAACAAAACGGTAAAGAGATTATTTTCTCATTCAGAAGCCTCGCTGGTGTGAAAGCTTTCCTGGACCGTCTGAGGTCACTTGAAGTCTAAATATGATGACAGAATTGATTTTTCAGAATAATTCCAAACATGCTTTTGCTTTTCTCAAAACTGAAGCGTTTGCTGTCGTGGGCTTGTGGGCTTCACTCACTCAGAAAAGAGCACTCTTGAGGGAATGAGAGGCTTTGATGGATTGGTGTCTTTTCATCTCTATAAAGAATAAATTCTGCAAACTGTATCTGGACGTTCAAGTCGGTGTTCTTGTTTGCCATTTTCAGGGGAAGGCTTCCTTTCCATTCAGAGTACATAAAGCTATTGATGAATGGGGGATAGGGACAGCGGCTTCCTGCACCATTAATTTATGTGAGAATGTGTTAACAGCATTTTCAACGGCTGATGGATCCATTGCAGGATGGGAAAGGAATCTACCCTGAGACACTCGGGTTACCCATTGGCAGGGAATATAAAGATGTAACTGCCAGCGTCCAAGCAGGCATTCAGCCACATCAGTCGTGTGATCCCAGGTCTGAAAACTTAACAACGCATTGGCAAAGAATTGATAAAAGCACAAGGTGATAGTTACATTAACTACCCTGACTCGATCACTATACAACACATCTGTGTCAGAACATCAGGTTGTACTCCATAAGCATGTACAATTACAATCTGTCCATCAATGTTTAAAAATTTTTTTTTTAAAAACTGCATTGGGGCCGGCCCGTGGCTCACTCGGGAGAGTGCGGTGCTGATAACACCAAGGCCCCGGGTTCGGATCCCACATAGGGATGGCCGGTTCGCTCACTGGGTGAGCGTGGTGCTGACAACACCAAGTCAAGGGTTAAGATCCCCTTACAGGTTATCTTTAAAAAAAAAAAAACAAAAAAAAACTGCATTGGTATGGTCAGAAGGACCAAGGTGGGAATGAATGCCTGGGTGCCACCTGGTTGAGGTATCCCTTAAATCAAAGTTTCTAGGACTGATTCAGATCAGAAGACTTGACCAAAAACACACCCCTCCTGCCAAGCATATAGACTGATAATTTTGCTTGAGAATCAGACTGTAATTTTGTTGTCAAACTTCCAAAATATAATTTCACAGCCATTTGCCTGAGGCATTTAAATGGATTTGTTTCTCCTGGCTTGTAAGTAATTTGCATAAAAGTTTCCTATGCCGTATTGTGAATAGAAATGATTTTCTAATCATGGGGTACTTCAAAAAAACATTTTCGTAAATGTTATGAAGTGAGAGACTCAGGTGCAGCTGCGTTTGTGGATGCAGGAAAAGTCGATTTTCCAGGTCAGGTTCGTTCACAGTTCTCCATCTATCTTCAGGTCTCAAAAAGATGGATTCTAAAGCATTTCTGGGTTTAGTGACCTTTTCTAAGGAAAAATAATTAAGGATTTTATCTATACGGTCTTGAACTTAAGCACGACTGCTCAGGAGCTGGATGAATTAGGAGGGAGAGAAAGTACATTTAAAAATAAATTATACGGATATATTTATTAAAAATAAATTATACAGCCCAGTGAAAAAGGAAAATGGAGAATATGAACTTGAACTAGAAACAGCTTGGTCTTCAGTTGAAAAATCTAAGATTCAGAATAAGGAATTGACTTGCTCAAGGTCAAACATCTATTTATGGCAGAGTTAAGTCTTTAGATTCTTTTGAGTTTTTTTTATCAGTACAAACAGATATCGCTAGAGAACGCAATTTTTTGGTTGCAGTTTTTGGCTTTTTCTAAGAGAGCCACATTCAAAGCCACACTCTGCAGTAGCCAGCGGTGTGACCCGGGGCAAATTACTTAACCTCTCTGATCCTGTTACCTTATCAGAAACTGGGACTAGTACTCTGCAGGGCGGTTGTGGGGATGGGCTAGAATCACGTATTCAGTGTGCCCTGCCTTAGTGGGACTTCCCTAAATATTCGTTTTTTTTTTTCTTCTTTCTTGTTTCTATTGTTTGGAAGGAAAGAAAAACGCCACGTCTCTGCAAGCTTTTCCAGGTGACTTCCTCTCCCTCGAAAGCTTCGTTGCATTTCTTCCCCGGTACCATGTAGACGCGTCTTGGGGTCTCTTTAGGGGGCAGCAGGAGTAAAGCATCCTGTCGTTTGTTTTCTAACTTGACACAAAACAACGTAACGCAGCCACTGGGCAAACCGCTGGCCAGCCTAACAACTCGCCAGGGCGGAAAGGAGGAGGTGGCACGGGGCGCCGGACGGGCCTCATCGGAGGTCACTGTCGCATCCCCGCGCCCCGCTCGCGGCCGGTGTCCCGGGATGCTCGGGGGCGTCGGGAGGCGCGCGGGGCTCGGGG